TAACAGTAACTGTAATTTCTTGAGTATCTAATGTGTACAGAGTACTTCACATAAATGATTTAAACACAATCCACAGCACAGGGGTCTGGAATTACTCTTTTACTTACATCTGGTTTTCCGGCTTTTTAGCTTTTCTCTTTGTCCTCCTGTTCCCCCACCACCACCACCCCGCCCCCAACCCTTGGGTTTGTAAATGGAAAATTTCTGTCAACAAACAATTCCAACATGGTTTCAAGAATTCCGGACTTGTCTCCCATTAAGGTTATTCTAAAGGATATAAATTTAAATTATTTAAAAATAAACTAGTCACCAAGAGCATTTCTAGACATGTTACTGCTGCATTAATGTGTATCGTGTCTTAATGTGCGGCACCAATTACCTACAGGTAAGTGCTGAGAATATCTAAGCCCATCTTAGGCTAAAGTCATTAAAATTACTAACAATGTAGAACAGAAAAAGGAGTTGAAAGGTGACGCACAAATTAAAAACAAAAACATTTTACCTCAGAGGTACAAACTCTAGTTCACTTTGCTGAAATAGAGAATTGGATCCAAACTCTTTATCTTGGCTCGGGCAAGTCAGCAAAGGTAAATCAGGAGAAGCAAAGTTGTCTTGAATGACTGCAAAGTTTCAAAAACAAAAACGGTGGGTAAGGCTGAAAACTAATAGTTTAACTTACTCATGTCATACTTTTAAAGAGCCTGAGTGTGCTGCCTTCTGGAAGTTTCCATAGTCACGAGGATGATAACCGCAGCAGCAGGAGCAACTACTGTTTACTCAATGCCCACCACACTTTAGGCACAAAACCACCCAAACTTTCCTTAATGTTCACAACTATCGTAAAGGGTAAAGTACAATGCTGACTTAAAGCTGAGAAATCTGAATTACGATTAAGCAGTTTGTTCGCATCCACACAGTCACAAAGTTCCTGGGTGACATCTGAACCTAAGCTTTCTGACTTTCACTCCTAACAAAACGTGAGCGTTTTTTCCCATCCTCAGGAAGAGCTCAAACCCCTTCTATCAAAGTGTGACCTAGGATCCCCGGAGGCATCTCTGACACTGTGAGGTCAGCATTATACTCCATATGAAGATGTCATGCACCTTATTCCTCTCATTCTCTCATGAGGGAACAGTGAAAATTTCTTGAAGCTACATGGTATGTGTTATAGAATTGATACAGAAGCACGTATGAAGATCTACCAATCTCCCATTAAGTCAGACACTACAGAAATAAAAAATAAAAAAAAGCAATGCTTAGTCTTCTCATTAATAACTTTGTTTTGGAAAAGTTGTTTTTCTACAAAACTATGTTACTTAAGCCTAACATGTCATGCAGCTGTTGTAATTTTTTAATGAATTAATAATTGTTTTGATTCCTTAGTTTTAATGTCTAGTATGGAAATCATCAATTTAAGATATGACCCATGTACATATAACAGTTTGGTGGGCTCCTCGGTAATTTTTAATTCTTTAAAGGGGTCCGCTGGCCAAAGGTTTGAGAACTGCTGTCTGACAGGGTGGGAAAAAAATTATAAATTCCTGAATGCCAACCTAAATCATCCTTAATGTCCTTAAATATGTATAAAAAGGCACCAGTTCCTTATTCCTTTTGTGACACAACTATAAAACAAATCAAACATCAATAGAAACCAAACTGCAGAACCAACAACATTCTAATCAAAATTAATTTAATGTGATGGGTGACCTTTTAAGAAAACTAAATTCGTTTTCAGTATCAATTATTTAGAATTCAAACAACTACACTACTATGGGCAATGTGCACACCCCACTCTCTCTCTCTCCTCTGTGGGGTTATTTCAGACCCAGGGCTACTGGGGAGGCACAGGCCTTTTAGGGGGGTGCCGACACTTCCCTGATGCTTTCACATCCATTGCATCTTCCCTAATATTGCCCATCTCACTCTTGTTTTAACTTTTGTCTGGCTGCTTCCCCACTACATGAACAACTCCTCCACATGTGCTTTATTTATAGTTGCTTCTTCAGTGTCTAAGTACCTATCACTTTATCTTTTAAATTGGACTTATTTCCTGCCTAAATTAATTAAAAATGGAACACGAATAGAAATCAATAACCTTTACCACCAAGAGCGACTGATAGGGTACTCTTTGACATGACTTGGAGAATTAGTTTAAACTTTCATTTAAAAACCCCTTTCACCTCTCTAAGAATGATAAAAGTTCTTGGTTTGGTTTTCACAAAGTCCCCAAACACACGAAGGTGATCTTTGGGCAAGTGTGGCAGACTTAGCATTTACAATTACCTATAAGGTGAGCATTTAAGTTACTCGAGAACCTTTTCTTGTTGTTGTTATTTTTTACCAGAATCAACAAACATCTTTGTATTACGCATTGGGTTGCTAACCACAAGGTCAGCAGTTCTAAACCACCAGCTACTCAACAGGAGGAAGATGAGGCCTCCTACTCCTGTAAAGAGTTAAAGTCTTGGAAACCCACATAGGGCAGGTCTACCCTGTCCTTTGGTTAACTATGAATCAGAATCAACTTAATGGCAGTAAGAGATTATTAGGGAATTATAAGTAATAAGCAGCGTCTCAGTATCTCCTAGATTATTTAAACATATTTTCACAGTGGAGTTGGGAAGGTTAAGCCAGGTAAATGATCTCTCTCTCTCTTGAGTGTGTGAGCACTTTGGGAGTGGAAGGCTGTACATCTTATTGGCAACGCCATTTTCTTACAGTGATCCACTGTGTATTTCGTCACAATAATCATCCTGGTAACAACTCAGCTTCTTCTCTTTTGTGGTGTGTCTTGTCATTCTGGCGCTGATTACCATCAGCGACACTTGCCATAAGTGAGAGTCTACACACTACAATGACTATCTGTGTGTAACTAAGCACTAATGGTAAAACTCTCCTCTGGCCATCAGATCTACTTAAGCTTTAATAAATGGCAAGCTGGAGTCACAAAATTATATAGGAGAAAGCATTTTTGATGTTTTCCAAGTACAATTTCATGACCAGTGTTGAAATCCTTCCATAGCACCTCTTATAGAATCTTGCCTGTGCATTTCCTGTGACGTAATGTTATTTTTGTTGCGGTTATTTAGTCTTTCCTATTACTGAATGACTTGATTAAAAAGTTCTCATATCAAGTTGGAATCAGCCTCTCTGGAACGCTTATATTCCAATTCTAAACTCTAGAGCAGAGTTAAAAGTTTTTCTGTAAAAACAACAGAAAATGTTAGGCTTTGTTGGTCATATATGGTCTCTTGTTGCTACAGTTCTTTCGTTTTTAGTGTTGTTTTTCTCATCCTTTTTAAGAAGTGAAAATGATTCTGAGTTCATAAATTCAAAACTCAAAGTCACTACTATCGAGTCAGTCCTGACTCACAGCAAACCTACAGGGCAGAAGAAAACTGCCTCTGTGGGATCCTGAGACTGTGGGGGTAAAAGCCTTCTCTCTGCCCCTTTGATAGACTGGTGGGTTTTGAACCACTGGTCTTGTGGTTAGCAGCAAAATATGTAATCTACTATGTCACCAGAGCTAAACTGGATGTAAAAAACCAGGCGCCAGGCCACATTGTGTAGTTTGAAAAATTATGCTCAAGAACATTAAACTATTCATTCCATTTTATTATTATTTTGTTTAGGTCTGCAGTTTGAAACCACTAGCCACTCCATGGGAGAAAGATGGGGCTTTCCACCCTTGTAAAGAGTTAGTCTGGGACACCCAGAGGGGCAGTTCTACCCTGTCCTACAGGGCTGCTCTGTATCAGTACGGATTCAAGGGCAGGGAGTTGTTTCTGGGTTTTTTCCGTCTCTAGTTCCCTGTTTAATCTGAAAACCAGCAGGCACTTAGATAGTTGTTAAATAAATGAATATAAATCATTTGCTTTTTGGCATAAAAGTGCTTGAAATATTTGGTAATAGCCAAGTCTTCTCAAAGAATGGATTTCCATTCCAATTCTATCAACATTTTTCTTAACATTAACTTTCAAGATCCAGTCATAAATAGAATGGCACCATTTTGATTGGAATAGCATTCCTTTATGTTTGGAAGGAGGGAAAAAACAAAACAAAACACATTGACCAAGTTCTGTTCAAAGTTCTCTAAAAAACTCGGACAAGACAATCTTCAAGATGGACTCCTACTCCCCACAAAAAGACTAATCCTCATTATCCAATCAGCAACTCTCTCACACTAAACCAATACGTGATCTTGGATATTAAAAATATTAAGGTAAAATTCAAAGTTAATTTTTTATATTTTTCTCTGGAAATAAAATGAGTTAGTATGTGTTTCTGAGTTTTAGCTATTAGTTTATCTTTTTAAAGATAAAAGTGTAAATTTTTGCTCCCCCGGAGATACTTTTAAATAAACTTACAAATAAAGGATTCCTTAGAATCTGGAAAAGGAAATGTTCTTCTATATAAAAGCATTCAATAACAACATATTAATCAGACAAAAGATTTACAGTAGTAAATCAGGCAATAATCTAGAGTAACTTAAAAATAAATCACGAAAAGTTTAATCTAAAATCTGCTAAAAATACAATTACGTCTAAATTTCAATACCCAGCAATGAAAGCTAGCTAGTTTCTGTCATCAAACTAGCAGTTTTAGATATACATTTCTAGTATGTATCAAGAGCCTGATACAGCACACACAGGGGTAGGTATCATTTTACATAGAAAGGTGTAGTTGCTGCAATGTTCTTTAAAAAAAAGAAAAGAAACTTCTCTCTCAATGTTTAGGCCTGGAAGCTGAAGAGAAAGGTATAGGCCTTCATTAATTCTGAGAATAAAACTTGGTAAACAAGCTGTTTGGTTTGGGTTCTTGGTTTGTTCAGGTTTGTGGAGTCTAGTTATTGAAAGGGGCAAAGGAGAAACTGAGGGGGTTTCAACAAGTTTGTGGAAAAATTTCATCTGATCTTTTAATTTCGTGTTTCTATGACCTTTCTGAAATCCCCTTATGTGTGGTTTCCTCCAAGAAGTACTCTGCAAATGTGACACTGGGGATGGGCACTCACTAACAACGGTCACTTCCCTGCCTGTGAACAACAGGATGCTCAGTGAATGCCATGAGCTGGCCAGTGTAGACCAGCAGGGCTGAGTTACAACTCAACAGAGTTCCTCACTTAGTTAGAGGAGCTGTACTCTCCCCAAAGGGTTCCACACACGTGAGGTAGCACTTAGTTAAAAATAAACATATCGATGCACATGATGGGGGGTTGCGGTGGAGACCTAATGCTCATCTGTTGACAGTTGGACATTCGCTCACAGAAGGGTCACAAGGAAAGAACAAGACAGCCAGGGTGCAGCATAGCACCGATGAAACACATAACATTCCTCCCCCCACTAGCATGACCCAAGTTCTACCTTACAAATCCGGCTAGACCAGAGCATGTACACTGGTACAGATAAGAGCACCTGGCACATGGAATCCAGGACAGATAAACCCCTCAGGAACAGTAATGTGAGTAGTGATACTATGAGGGTAGGGGGAATGTTGAGGGAGAAGAGGGTGAAACTGGAAACGGACTACCGTGATCGACATATAACTCCTCCCTCTTCCACCAGGAGGGATGAACAAGAGCAACATGGGCAAAGGGAGACCTTGGGTGGTGTAAGATGTGAAACAAAAACAATTTAGGGAATACTAAAAATAGACTTTGGGGCCAGGGCATGGCACCCCATCACTCAACCAGAAAACACTCGTAAAGGCCAACAAACAGTCCTTGAACTAACTACAGGCTTTTCTTTCTTTCTTTCTTTTTGGCATTGGTTTTTTGTTGTTGTTTTCTTTTCTTTTGTTGCTATGTTTTACTTTATCTTGTTTTTGTGCATGTTATTATCTCCGTAGGTCTGTCTCAACAAGATAGGCAAGAGGAACAATCTGAAAGAGAAAACAACGGGACCAAAGGTCTGGGGAGACACGGGAGAGAGGGAGGTGAAGGGAAAGGAAGTGGTGCAAACCAACAAGTGATCCAAATCTGTGGTGAGGAGGGTGTAGGAGGTCTGGTAAGGATTGATCAAGGGCAAAGTAAGAAAGAGGAATT